AGTCTTAAGAAATAGGACTTCTAAGGTGACTGGCAGAGAAGATTTAGTTGATAAAATTTCAACCTGCTCTACAGCTGCCACCACAGACTTCGGGAACAGATCATACTGTGCCTCTGTGAATTTTCTCATATGACATTATCTTTTGAAAAAAAAAATATTATCTTTTGCAAAAAAAATGTAGTAAGCCAATAAATAATACTAAGAGAAAGCAAATACTAAAAGAAAAAAGTGAGTATTGTATTTTTCTAGTTATTTAAATAAGCAATTTAAAATGATGAACACTACTGGCTTACCTTTACAGATCTACAAAATCTAAAGAAAAACATGTCTCCCAATGCTACTTGAACATTCATATACTGATGGAGGCTTTGTAACTAGGTATGATCATTTTGGAGAAACATAACAAAGCATAGAAATGTTTAACCCTTTTAACACTGTAACCTACCCCTAAGAATGAATAAACAAACAATTCAGGGTATGGCCTGGTACAGTGGCTCACACATGTAATCCCAACACTTTGGGAAGTCAAGGTGGGAGAACTGCTTGAGCCCAGGAGTTTGAGACCAGCCTGGGCAACATAGCAAGAGCTCATTTCTACAAAAAAAATAATTTTAAAAAATTAGCCAGGTGTGGTGGCATGCACCTGTAATCCCAGCTACTCAGGAGGCTGATGCAGGAGGCAGCAGAGTGAGACTGACTCATTAAAAAAAAGTAGAAAAAAATAGTTCAGGGTATGACAAAAATACAGTCTGCAAAGATGCTTTTAATAATATTACTCATAACAAAATAATTGCAAATTTAGTTTAAAGATCCAAAAAGAGACTCCCTTATATGTAGCCTAGACAGCTGTTCAATAATTTCATTTAAAGGAATTATGGCTTTCCCTTGGATGTCATGAGACTAGGAAAGTATGATTTTACAACTGATAGTGGAGGAATAAAGCACACATAGGTAGAAAACTTAATAACTATTAAAGGTGACAAAAGTTATTGTTTACTGTATACTTTATATACAGTGGCAGATATTGTAAGATGCCTATACAACATTAATTCTTCCCATCTTACCAGGAATACCCCAATTTTTGTCAGATAAAAGTATTTTGAGTTTTCAGACTCCCTTGCAACTAGAATAGCCGAATGAATGAGATGCAGGCAGAAGTTCCACAGGAGGTTGTTTCATCAGTAAAAAGGCCAAGTCTCACTAGGAGAAAGACACTTTTGTCCTTAGTTCTCCCCCCTCCTTTCTGCCCAGAAGAAGCAACAATCTTGTGACTATAAGGAAAAATGCTTAAGAACAAAGCCCATGTATGTACTAAGTGTAGTAGAGCATTAACATGAAAGGCGTTATTGAGCTGCGATACAAACTCTGCATTGCCTTTGCCTGCCATAATTATTATTAAACGTAAAAATCCTTATCTATTTAAACTAGTATTAGTTTTCCATTATGTTTAATGTTTCACAAACTAAGTTTGCATGTTGTGTCACTTAAGGTCACAATTCTCTGCAGTTGCTATTATCAGATGCACTTTCACAGATAAAGAAGCTGGGACTTACAAGAAGTAAGATTATAGGGCTAGAGCTTGCAGAGGACTGAGAAGGGAGTCCAACACGGGTCAGACTCTAAAATCTTTTATAACAAGTGTTATGCTATGATTTACATTATTATAACTACACTAATCTATCCTGTCAGAATTGTAGACTAGGAGAGATTGACAGTAAAAAGTAAAAACATATGATAAAGGAAGTTGATGTAGCAGGTATAAGAAATGACTTCTAGATAAGCAGTTGCTTTGACACTTCCATAGGTTCAATGGGTGACAGTATATACTGGCTTCTTAATATTCCATAGGACAAAATTTATGGGAATTTTCTGATAGAGTAAGACAATGTGGGATAGATACTGGAATTATATAAGCAAGTATATTGGCAATTTGTTTAAAAAAATAATTCGGAATGAATTTCAAGGTGGGACCAAAAAGAATGGAATTATTTTTTGGAGGGCAAGCCCCTTGTGGTACAGGCTTCCCCTGCTAGGTAAGTGTTCTAGGAACACATTGGCATCCATGTACCAGTTAGTGTTGTTGTGAGAGGCTGTGTTCAGCTTCAGTGAAATTTTTTTTTGAGATTCTTTCAGCATGTTTGCCCATTTCATGATGGGTGATTTACCACTGTAACTGCCTGTGCCACACAGAGTATTCTTAAGCTTTTGACCAAAAATGGCATGACCCCTATACCCCACCCTCCATATTCATCCAATCTTGCCCCAGCAACTTTTTTTTTTAATTTCCCTGGATGAAAAAAGACCTCAAAGGAAAACATTTTGCCAATGTGGAAGAGGCAAAACAAAAAAATGGCAGAAACACTGAAAGGCACCAAAATTGACAAGTTCAAAAACTTTTTTGAGGAGTGGGAAAAGCATTTTGATAGGTGCAATGCATCAGACTTTGAAGGTGATTGACGTTTAAACATGTAAGAATAAACACAAAAAATTTTAAAAATAAATTCTGGGTTTTTTGGTATCCCCCTCATAGTTGCAGCTACAAAGACCTACTGGCATGATTTCAAATTATCCCTTTCCAAATTTTATCTTTCTAGTCAAGCAGCTACTTTTCCAGCAAGCATTTTCTTTTAAAAAAAAATTAATAAATACAAAGTAACTGAGAATTTAGAAAGTTTAAAACTCACTAGGGTATTTCAAAATGAAGACGAAGGCCGACTATGGTGCCTCATGCCAGTGATCCCAGCACTTTGGGAGGCCAAGGTAGGAGAATCGCTTGAGACCAGCAGTTTTGAGATCAGCCTGGGCAATAAAACAAGACCTTGCCTTTATAAAAAAATAATAATAATAATCAAAATAATTTGCTGGGCATGGTAGTACACACCTGTAGCCCCAGCAACTTGGGTGGCTGAGGCAGAAGGATCACCTGATCCCAGGAGGTCAAGGGAGTAATGAGTCGTGATTGTGCCACTTCACTTCAGCCTGGGCAACAGAGTGAGACTCCAATTTAAAAAAAAAGACGATACTCTCCTTCTGCCGATGACATTACTGCTGATTCTGGTGACCAATGGGCCTTCCTTGGACAATGATATGAATACCTCTCATAAAAATTATTGACTTTATGAAAGTACCATATGACCATTATTTCAAAAATTCAAGCCACACAAAAAATACAAAAAAGGAAGGTTACAAATATCCCACACGCTGGAAATAAAATATTAACCTATAGTGAGCATTATTCCATGCATCCCTTTAAATATATGTAAAGACAAAGGAACAGAGACAGAAATAAATGTATTTAAGAATAGGAAAAGAACATGTATGCTATTTTTAAATAACAGGCGTCATGATTAATCTTATTTTAATCCAATATAAAAAGATAAGAAACTAAAGAAATTGTTTCTTTAAAAGATAATATATACTAAAATATAAATATAAAGCAATTTTAAATAAAGAAACATTAAAAAGTTTAAGCAATCATTTTCAAAAACTACATATTTCATTTTAGACAATGCCTGTTAATCATTTGCTTACAAGAGATGATCAGCTGCATAAGGTTACTAAGGTTACTAATGCTTTCACCTTATTCCCTACCCCCTGCTCTTTTACTAAGTCAGGGTTTACAACATTTATATTTTGTTCTGGACCCAAAATACACCCACGAGGTTTAGGCTTAGTTCCTAAGTGAAACAGTCTTTCATATCTACACAGTCTTATTTTATCTTTCCATAAGAGTGTTAACATCCAAAGGAGACCCAAAAAACTCCGGAATTATCTTTTGGAGGGTGGGCTCTCTGTTGTGCACTTGAACTTTGTTCTTCAAGATTAAACAGTCAACCCAAGTTTTTATCTGGAAATTTTGAGAAGGTTGCATTACGATTTGGGGAAGAAACATCTGAGGCATGGCAAACAGCTGAAAATGCAACTGCCAGTACCACTGTACTGAGTGTTCCCAAGCTTTTGACCAAAAACAGCATGACTTCTGTGTCCCACCCTCCCTAATCACTCAATCTCACCCCAAGCAACTCCCTCCACCCCCGATAAAGAAACATCCTCAACGGAAATGTTTTTGCCCATGTGGAAAAGGTAAAACAAAAAATGACAGAAACACTAAAAGGGCATCAAAATTGATGAGTTTAAAAACTGTTTTGAACAATGAAAAAAGCATCTCAGTAGACGTATTGCATCAAACGGAGGATACTTTGAAGGTGACTTAGGTTTAAACATATAAGAATAAATACACAAACTTTTAATAAATAAATTCCATTTTTGGGAGGTCGCCTCCTCATATATCATATGTACACATGTATACATAGAGGTAAGTATACAAATTATAATTTTAATGCAAGGCAACAGTACAAAGTGTTTCATAAACTAGTTTTTCATTTCTAATACCAGGAACATCTTTCCGTATTGTGTATTTTTTCACAATGTTATTTTTAAAGGTGAAAATCACATTTCTTCTTTGGATTTATCCTAATTTAACAAATCCTATATTAACACAATTTTACAGGGGTTTTTTTTGTTAGTATAAAAAAATGAGACAAATATTCTCAAAGATAAATGTTTGCTTTCATACATAATTATTCATATAGAATAAATGACAAAAGAAGAAATTAGTTAAATGGTAAGAAACTTAGTTTTTATACATGTTGACACATTTACCCTAAACAGGGTATTCCTTAGAACAACTAAGCAAATTCCTGTTTCTAGTCCATACCCAGTGGGTATGATTTAGACCAAACCAATCTTGTCAATCATAAATTATATTTATTTGATTACTACTGATGTATCTTTCATGTGGTTTGTTTTTGGCCAACTGTCATTCTGTTGTTCTGAACTACCTACCTGCTTGTATTTTTGTCCATTTTCTCATTTTTCTGTTTTTCTTTTCACATTTAAGAGATCTTTAAATGATATATATATAGTTTTTGGGGTTTTTTTGAGTTGGAGTCTCACTGTGTCGCCCAGACTGGAGTGCAGTGGCCACTCCCG